AGGAGGAGAAGGAGGCAGAGGAGAGCAGGAGGAGGGGGAGGAGGAGGAGGGGGGAGGAGGAGGAGGAGGAGGAGGAGGAGGAGGAGGAGGAGGAGGAGGAGGAGGAGGAGGAGGAGGAGGAGGAGGAGGAGGAGGAGGAGGAGGGCGAGGAGGAGGCACGCGTGCCAAGGATCATGCAGTCGCGGGTGCGCAAGCAGGGGGGATTGCGATGGCGCCACGCCCTGGCAGCAACGGGCATGTGCGCGAGTGCTGCGACACGCGGGCGAGCGACCGTAACGAGGTAGGGGGGAATCGCAGCGTGGCTCTTTAGATTGTGCACACGGTTTCGATGTCGAGGCGATCTCGATATGAAGGGCGAGGTCTGAGGGGCTTCAATGGGGCGAAATGCGAGCCCTCAGGCGGAATGCGATGGCCGACGAAGCCAAGATAAAAGCAAGACTTCATCGAAACGTCCTCAACGAGTCCACCGTCACCAAACGCCGATGAGCGAGCGCGTGGCGCAACGCTACAACGGCCTGCATCACAGCATTTGGGGGCCTGCGGATTTGTCGAGGGCACGGCGAGGAAACGTCTGCGAGACATGAGCGGAGGGGTGAGGTGGGGGAGAGATGCAGGGAGGGAGGGAAGGAGGAGCGATGGGGGGGGGAGGGGGCGTGGAGGGAGGAAGGGAACCAGCATTGGGAACGGTGGATTCGTCGCGGGCTGGAGAGAGCGGCGCTGGGGGAGTGGCGGGGCGCCACTTGCTCGGACGGTCGAAATAACGCTCCATGGGGACGCGCCGGGGGAGCCTCACGGTCGGACGATTGGAATATTTGCCCAGGGGAGGGAGCCGGGGGAGGGAGGGAAGGCGCTGGACGGTGGGACGGTCGGAAGAAGCCTCCAGGGGACGCTCAGACTAAGCCGCCACGGGGTCGCTGGGTGAGCGCTGGACCGTCGGGCGATCGGAAAAGTCCTCCGGTGGGGGCGCATGGATAGCAGGGGGGCGCCGAACGGTCGGGCGGCCGGAAGAAGTCTCCAGAGGGGGGACGCCAGCGCGAGAGGAGGGGGATGCCAGACGGTCGGACGGTTGGAGTAAGCCTCCGGGAGGGAGAGCACAGGCAACGGCGGGCTGGATGGCTGGAGAGGCCAGAGTAGGCACCTCCAGAGCAGGACGGTCGGACGGTCGGATGGCCCAGGGGGCGGGGGGGCCGGCTGGCAGAGGCCCCGAGCGGGGGGGCGGGACGCCGGGCGGTCGGAATGCGCCTCCATAATCAATAAAGTGGGGGGCCGCGGGAGCGGCGGGGCGCCGGGCGGCCCGAAGGAGCCTCCGGCCAAGCGCTGGGGCAGGGGGGGGAGGGGCGCCCGATGGTCGGACGGCAGGAGTATAAGCCACAAGGGGATGAGGGGGCCAAGGGGGGCAAGGGGTCGCCGGGGACGGCCGGACGGTCGGGATAAAGCCTGGGTGCTGGGGGAAGGCCAGTCGGAAGGAATCTCCAGAGAGGGTGCGCGGGGGGAGCGCAGGGCGCGCGACGGGAGAAGCCGCCAAGGCGCCATCGGGTACGCTTCCAGGGCATCCGCCAGGAATCCTCCAGGGCACTCTCCAGGACACCTTCGAGTACGCATCCAGGACATAAGCGTCCAACACCGTGGAATACGCATCCAGGATGCAAGCCAATACGTGTCCAGGGCGTCCGCCAGGACACCTCCAGGGAACTCTCCAGGACACCTTGGAGCACGCATCCAAGGCATACGCTTTCAGGGCATCTGCCAGGACACGTCCAGGGCATCCGGGACGTACGCTTCCAGGGCATCTGCAAGGACACCTCCAGCAGGGCATGGACGGCCGGACGGTCGAAATACTGCAGTGCGGAATCACACCAGTAGGTCTGATTTGAAGGAGGTTCTCTGGAACTCGCGTCATCCTAACCGTAGATCGCGCATGTCTTCCTACAAGTGGATTGTGGACGAAAAAAAAAGTTGTCCGGACGAATGACCCAACCATTTGCAATTGTGACTACCACAATTGTGAATATCTTCTTCAGTGGCGATCCCTATGGGGCCACGAACCGTGCGAAGGGTGTGTCGACATGTGTGGCGGGGTACACAACACGAACGGAAACGATAGGCCTGAGCACGGGGGACTGAGCGCGGGTGAGACTGATCGCGAGCGCGTCTGATTGTGATTGGGTCTGCGTGCGAGTAAGTCTATGTGCATGAATGCGGGCATGGACACGCCTAGTGTACATGTATATGATTGTGAATACTGGGCGTGGCGGGGGCCTAATGGGCCACGAAGCGTGTGAGGGGCGTACTTGGTGTGGCGGACGCATGCGGGCCCCCCCCACTGGGGCCGCAGGTGGAACTCCCTATGGGGCCACGAAACATTGTACGGGGTGCGGCGGACGCATGCGGACAACCCCACTGGGGCCTTCAGTGGAGCTCCCTGTAAGGCCACAGAACGCTGTGCTGGGCGTGGCGGACTCATGTGGCCACCCCCACTGGGGCCTTAGGTGTAGCTCCCTTTGGGGCCAAGAAGCGCTGTACTGGGTGTGGCGGACGCATATGGCCACCCCCACTGGGGCCTTGGGTGGAGCTCCCTATGGGGCCACGAAGCGCTGTACTGGGTGTGGCGGACGCATGTGGCCACCCCCACTGGGCTTTCGGTGGAACTACCCATGAGGCCACGAAGCGCTGTACTGGGTGTGGCGGACGCATGTGGCCACCCCAGCTGGGGCCTTAGGTGGAGCTCCCTATAAGGCCACGAAGCGTGTGAAGGGTGTGCCGATATGGGTGTGGCGGACGCATTTGGCCACCCCCACTGGGGCCTTAGGTGGAACTCCCTATGGGGCCACGAAGCGCTGTAATGGGTGTGGCGGACGCATGTGGCCACCCCCACTGGGGCCTTCAGTGGAGCTCCCTATGGAGCCACGAAGCGCTGTACTGGGTGTGGCGGACGCATGTGGCCAACCCAGCTGGGGCCTTGAGTGGAGCTCCCTGTGGGGCCACTAAACGCTGTACTGGGTGTGGTGGACGCATGTGGCCACCCCCACTGGGGCCTTAGGTGGAGCTCCCTATGGGGCCACAGGGCGCTGTACTGGGTGTTGCGGACGCATGTGGCCAGCGCAGCTGGGGCCTTGGGTGGGGCTCCCTATGGGGCCACGAAACGCTGTACTGGGTGTGGCGGACGCATGTGGCCAACCCAGCTGGGGCCTTGGGTGGAGCTCCTGATGGGGCCACGAAACCCTGTACTGGGTATGGCGGACGCATGTGGCCACACCCAGTGGGGACCAGCGTGGGGCTCCCTATGGGGCCACGAAGCGCTGTACTGGGTGTGACGGACGCATGTGGCCACCCCCACTGGGGCCTTGGGTGGAGCTCCTGATGGGGCCACGAAACCCTGTACTGGGTATGGCGGACGCATGTGGCCACACCCAGTGGGGACCAGCGTGGGGCTCCCTATGGGGCCACGAAGCGCTGTACTGGGTGTGGCGAGCGCATGTGGCCACCCCCACTGGGGCCTTGGGTGGAGCTCCCTATGGGGCCGCGAAACGCTGTACTGGGTGTGACAAACGCATGCGGCCACCCCCGCTGGGGCCCTAGGTGGAGCTCCCTATGGGGCCACGAAACGCTGTACTGGGTCGGTGAAACGCAGGGAGGAGGGAGGAGGGGGGAGGGGGAGGAGTGAGGAGAGGTAGCGGGAGGAAGGAGACGCGGGGCGATGTCTCTTCAAAACGAAGACCCAACACCACAGGATGGTTGAGACAACTGCGAACGATATTCACAAACAGTAAGAAATAATCAAAAATCACCCCAAATAGGCAAACATAGTAACACATACTCAAGGAAGTACTCCAAAGTAATCAAAAAGTCGTCCCCAGACTATTTCTTACTATCTTTGAATTTACCTCCTGTAGAAGTACATGCCCGACTTACTCCTGACCCCCAGCGCGCGAGACAGTCAAGCTCCACCGCGCCCCTAGGGACCCTTTCCGGGGATCGCAGTGGGCCGTGTCCCAGTCCGGGGCTCTCGCTCGAGACGTCCTCGCAAAGCCGACCCCCGGCGCGCGAGACAGTCAGGCTCCACCGCGCCCCCTGGGGACCCTTTCCGGGGATCGCACTGGGCAGTGGCCCAGTCCGGGGCGCTCGCTCGAGACATCCTCGCAACATCTTTCTGTGGAACTCACGTCCTAGATCCCGGCACGCGAGACAGTCAGGCCTCCACCGCGCTCCCAGGGACCATTTCCCAGGATTCCCAATATTCCCCAGATGTTCGTCTTCTCCGCCGCTTCCCATATTTTCCATATTTGCTTCGGAATAGAAGATGATTTGTTTCTGTGTGATTTCCCCCCCCCCCCCCCCCCCTGAATGACGAGGGGCACAGCGGAGAACGGAGGAAAGAGCGGCCCCGACGTTCGACGTGCTGGAAAAAAAGCCGTCACGAGAAGAAGATGTGACACAAATCTTGGCGCGGGATGATTCGATCCACATCGATCCGGCGGGCCAACGACGCCTGGCCCGTCGCGAGGCCGCACGATGCCCAGATGTCAAGGCCCCTCCTCTCCAGCTCCGCCAAGGCCTGCGCCACGGACCCCCCCAAGGATACCCTCTCCCGTGCTCCGAGACGCTCCCAGCCGTGGCGACGAGAGCCTCCCAGAAGCCCCCGACACCAGAGAGGCCGAGGGGGCGAGCACGGTTGGCGGAACACCGTCAGAATCTGCATATTAACCAGCAACTTTCGGAGGGCCGCTCGGGAATCTGCTGACCCAGGTCAATCCAGACCCAGGTCTGTTGGGCTCCGCAGGATCCTGCAAAAGATCCTTCAAGATAATCTGCACCCAAGCCCGGGTCGATGCACCCCTGGCTCTGCAGGATCCTGCAAGGTCCGGCGCCCTGGCTGACCCCCGTTTGCAATGACCCCCGTCTCCAGACCTCCGACGTCATGATTTTTTCACGACGTCGACCCCCAGAGGTCTCGACCAATTCCCCAGACCGGTTTCTCATCCTGAGTCGTTCTTTGACGGTCTCGAGGCCCGGCGAGGGCCCCCGTATGCCGAAAATGGAACAACCTCCCGTCATGCTTTTCTCATTACTCGAGGGGACATTGGATAAAGAAGCAATGGATGCGGCACCCAGGGTCTGGAAGCCCGGGGAACTCCCATCGTGGACCAGCCATGGATATCACCGCCGCCCTCATCAGACAAGGGAGCTTCCAGGGTCTGCAGCCTCCTGGGCTCGGGCCGGGCGAAAGGGGGGGACAGCAAAGGGGGGGTTGAGAATCAGCTCACGTAGCTGATTTTCCCGGCGCCTCCCGGCGCCGGAGGCGGCCATGTATCGAGGAATGGGCCCCTCGGTGGGGCCGAAACCCGCTGCATGCAGCAGATTTTGTAACCCCCCCTTTCCCAATCCCCTCCTTTCGTCCAGCCCGATGGGCGCATTCCTCCACCAACGCCCCCGCCGGGCTCGAGGGGGTCTGGGCTCCCGATTGCGCGCCTCGCGCGCTTCGCCCCCGGCGCGCTGCGCCCGCCGGGAAGGGAAAGGGGGGGGGGGGCGCCCAGCGCCGCCTCCGGAGGTCCGCCCGGACTTTCGACGGTTTGCATTATGTCGGGCGTGTCTCCCTACAGGGGGATTTTCGACGAAAAATAAAAAATACCCCCAAAACACACCAAACAGGTAAAACAAATATTCAAGAAATAGTCCCCAGACTATTTTTGGACTATTTTTTGATTATTTTTGGGGTATTTCAGATTTTTCGTCGAAAATCCCTCTGTAGGGGGACTGGCCCGACGCAAGGTTTGCATGCTTGTGCAGTTCTTCTTCGTCGAGTTTGAGGGGGCCCAGGGGGCACACGCACATAAACACGCACAAATCCGAGGGCTCCCCATGTGTTTCGAGTTCTTCTGGGCTTTCAATCTTCCCCCTCACTCCATGTTTTCCCATCTTGTTCTGGGGGGTCGACGATGACTTGTGTCTGTGTTTCTTTGTCTCCTCCTGAGAGTCGAGGCCCACGAAGCCAGGATCAGTCAGCATCGAACCGGGACGTCGGACCGAATCGAACTGTGTGTCGGAGCGGGCTGCATCGGCACGGAGTCGAACTCGAATCGGATCGGCCGCGCCAAGATGCGCGCACAAGAACGCCATGCACACATCGGGCCGCATCGGATCGTCGTCAGAGCAGAATCGGATCGGATCGGGCCGGGCAGGACAAATGTGGTGGGTTCAACAAAAACCCTGCACAAAACACCTTGCCATCTATTGGGGAGCCAGCCTTTCTTTCTGCCGCCTTCCGCCGAGCTTCCGCCGGCGGAGGCGGTCTCGTCTTCCTTCCGCCGCCTTCCGCCGACTCCCACGAACCTCAAAGGCGATGCCCTTTCTTGAGTGCCTCATGTCGAGTCGGACATATCGCATCGAAAGGAGGAGGCGGAGGAGGAGGGAGGAGGAGGAGAAGGAGGAGGAGGAGGAGGACCAGTGTAAACCCAAGAGTCATGAACGATGTTGGAATAAACCCTGCCTCCAAGCTCCCTCTTCATAGGCCCCTACAACGGTCCATTTGAATTGAAGGAACTGCCTCGTTGGAAGACAACCGTTTGAAGAGCCTGAAGCATGCCAAAACATTGTTCTCAGGATTCGAACGCCACGGATCAACCTGACTGTTGCGTCTTAACGGTCCTGAATCGTGCCAGACGGCCATTCCTGGGACTTCAACACAGCGAATCAACGTAAGTGTTGCACCCGCGTAATCCTGAACCCCTGCAAAACATCATTTCTGGTACGTTGATGATGGGAATCTGTGAAACTCTTGCAAAAATTGCAAACGAATGTGCGCGGCGCTAAAGCGAGAACCACACTTTGAAAAGGAACCGCCCAACATGCGTGAAACTCTTGCACAATTTGTAAAAGAATTTGCGCGACGCTGAGGCGAGAGCTACATTTTGAAAAGGAGCCGCCCTCAATCCGTGAAGCTCTTGCAATTTCTAAAACGAATGTGCTCCGCGCTAAGGCGAGAGCCACATTTTGAAAACCACCCGCCCTCAATCAGTGAAACTCTTGTAATTTTAAAAAACGAATGTGCGCCGCGCTAAGGCGAGAGCCACATTTTGAAAAAGACCCGCCCTCCATCTGTGAAATTGTTGCCAATTTGAAAGCTTCAGAATCAGGAATGGTGAGGAAGTCTCAGGCGAAACGCCCAGCTCGCCCTAAAAACTGGCCTCGGGGTGCGACAGGGAGAAGTTATATATCAGGAAAAGGAATGGAGGAGGAGGAGGAGGGAGGAGGAGGAGGAGGAGGAGGAGGAGGAGGAGGAGGAGGAGGAGAAGGAGGAGGAGAAGGAGGAGGAGGAAGAGGAGGAGGAGGAGAAGGCGCAGGAGGAGGAGGAGGAGGACGATCGAGCCGGACAAATCGCATCGAAATGGACCCTGCAGGGGCCCCGGGCCCCTCCGGCCTCCTTCTCCTCGGCGGTGCGCTTCCGCCGCCGACGCCTGCGCTGGCCCGACGCGGCGGGCTCCTCCGGATCCGCCGCGGCGTCCGAGGCGGGCGGCGGCGAGGCCGCAGGCTCCGCTGGGGAGTTCTTGTAAGGTCTCTTGCTTTATTTCGCAGAAGGCATCTATACACCACCACCGTGCCAAGGCAGGGCCATGCTGGGCCCCAGGATGGTGTATGGTGTCGAACGAGAGTGTCGCCTCCCAGGGCCCGACACGTGAAGACCCTCCAGTTTCGGTGCTTTCATGGTGCTCGGAATTCTTTCTGGTGGTCAAGGCTGAAGTAGGTTGGAACGTCATAACTCTTGCTTCTGTTTTGCGCATGTGTGCGTGCTCCCGCGCGCTCTGCCTGCGACGCCACGACACGGACCTGTTCTACGCCGTTCCGCTGCGCGCATGGCCGCGGCGCCAAAGTTTTGTTGTGTGTGTGTGTGTGGATTTGCCACTGTTGTTGCTGCTGGTGCTGTTGTGTACATAAAACATACAAGCAGGTATCTACCAGTAGTGCACTCGTGTCTCTCTTCCATTTCTCTCTATATTTGGACATATGTGAACATATGGTTAATTCCCCCCGTTATTTTTGTTGTACGTGTTTGTTGCCTTAAGTAACCTCTGAAGAACATTCTTGTTGATCCCCCTTGCCCCTGCCCGTACCGCTTTTCAGTTTGAATTGCCCCCTGGCTCTCCCACATCGTCTTCCAGCTCAAACTGTCCCCTGGCTACAGCATCAATAGCTCCCGCCTGGAACTCACGCACCATTTGTTCAAGAGTCGTGCTCTCGCCTGGAATTCCTTTCCTTCCTGAAGAATCGCGCTCTCGCTGCTCGGGAATCGTGTTCTCGCCTGAAAGTTAATCACAATGTGCTCAGCAAGCGCGCTCTCGCGTGGGAGATCCTTACTCATTACTTGGGACACGTGCTCTCGTTTGGAGAATCCGGGGCGATTTGCTTATGGATCGCGCCTTGGCAAATCAATCACGCTCTCGACTGGGACTTCCTCGCCGCGCGCCCGCTGCAGTATCCCACCCTCCCGAATGGCCCGCGAAGGTCCGCCCGCACGTCCCGCCTGTTAGGGTCCGCCCGACCGATCTGCCCGCCCGCCGTGAAGGACTGCCTGCCCGACCTACCCGCCAAGGTCCGCTCGCCTGGCCCCGCCCGCTGGAATGTGATGCTCGCCTGGCCGTCGGGCCCCCCCCCCGTCCGTCTGCTCGCAGCGACCTCGATGTCCCGCCTGCCCGTCCCGCCCATGAGGGTGCGCCCGGCCGACCCGCATGTCTAACCCTGTCGGGATTTACTCAAGGGCTGGAACAACAGAAAGAAAGAGAAAAATATATATAGAAAGAGAGAGAGAGAGAGAAATATAGAAAAAGAGAGAGAGAGAGAGAAAATGAGAGAGAGAGAGAGTCTCTTGCAAGGACACGTTCGTAGACGAGGGGGGCGGGAATCGAGGGTTCGGGACAAGGCTCAGGGTCTATACGTCGAAAAACACGTGGGAAATGACACACGAGCAATGCTAAACTCAATGTTGAACTCTCACCAATGAAAATACTGTTGCCCCCCCCTGTCCGGTGCCCGTTCTGCTTTTCAATTGGAGTTCCTCCCCCGTGGCACACGCCCTTTTTTGTAGGGGCCATACTTGAGCACCATACTGTGTTGTTGGCAACCATCGTTTTAAAAGTTCGCTTTGGGCTGCTCGCGTGTCATTCAACACGAACGCCCCGAATCCTCGATACCCACCCTCTTCGTCTTTGATCGTGCCCCCTTGGGGGAATGTCCTTGCCTGCCACGTGTAGTTGGCGCGCCTCTGAAACGGAAGGCCTCGGAGGCCTCTTGGAAGCATGCCGTGTCGACGAAGTCGCTCGGGGGGCTGTCTTGGGGTGATCGTCGTCGTCGCAAGGATCTTGGAGCGCCCCAGGCCGCTCTGTGACCCTACTGGGGCGCGCCGATCCTCCCATGCGGAACCATTTGGGGACAAGGTTGGGAGCCTCTGGGGCCGAACCCGGACGGCCAGGGCGTCCTCTGGGGCTGCCATGCAGCGTGGGGATGCAGAACAGGTTGCGTGAAGAAAGACGTGGAGAACCCAATGGGGAAACAAACTGTTTGAGCTTTGGGGGGCTCTCCTGGAGGCCTCTGGGAGACCTGTGGGAAGCCTCTGGCACCAGGCGGGAGCAACCTCTGGAGCTCCCTGCAACCTCTTGGGGCTCAGTTGGTTCCGGGACGCCGAAAACTTTAAAAAATAACAAAGGGAAAGTGCGCGCCGATTCTCCCATGTGGAGCCATCCGGGGGCAAGGTTGGGAGCCTTTGGGGCCGAACCGGGACGGTCTGGGCGTTCTCTGGGGCTGCCGTGCAGCGTGGGGATGCAGAACAGGCAGCATGGGGAACAATGTTTTAAACAACGATTGGGAAACCAAGTGTTTGAGCTTCGGGGAGCTCTCTTGAAGGCCTTTGGGAGGCCTGTGGGAGACCTCAAGCACCAGGCGGGAGCAGCCCCTGGAGCTCCCTGCAACCTCTTGGGGCCCTGTTGGCTCGGGGTCGCCGAATCCTTTTAAAAACATAAGGAAAGTAAGGCCCTGGGCCCCCCATGCGCCGCCGAGGTCCCTGGGCGGGACCCCGCTGTGTGACCCTACTGGGGCGCGTCGATCCTCCCATGCAGAGCAATTTGGGGACAAGGTTGGGAGCCTCTGGGGCCGAACCGAAACGGTCTGGGCGTCCTCTGGGGCTGCCGTGCAGCGTGGGGATGCTGAACAGGCAGCATGAAGAAACAACGTGAAAAAACGATAGGACAGCCAAGTGTTTGAGCTTCGGGGAGCTCTCCTGGAGGCCTCTGGGAGGCCTGTGGGAGACCTGGGGCACCAGGCGGGAGCAGCCCCTGGAGCTCCCTGCAACCTCTTGGGGCCCTGTTGGCTCCGGGTCGCCGAAACCCTGTAAAAAAACACAGAGAACATAAGGCCCAGGGCCCCCCATGCGCCGCCGAGGTCCCTGGGCGGGACCCCCCGGCCATGTCCCCCGGGCTCTCTCTCTCTCTCTCTATATATAATTATAATTGTGTATGTGTTTGTATATGTATGTATATATATATATATATACATGTATATAGATATACATGCATGCATGTACGTATGTTTGTATAAATGTATGCACATATACATACATATATATACATATATATGTACATACGTCATCATCTCTCTCTATATATATATAAAGTGGCACGTGTGTGCCAAGGCTCATACAAAAAAACTGGAGGGGCGTTTGAAGCAGGAATGAAGTGCAACAGCGAAGTCGCACTCGAGCGCAAGTGGGGTTGCCACACCTTGCGATGTGTGTACCAGGGCCTCCCAGGAAGCCTCAGGAGGCCCGACTTGGATACCAGAAGAGGCTCCAGGAGGCCCCAGGATTGTGAGTGTTGTGTGTGTGTGTGTGTGTGTGTGTGTGTGTGTGATATGTGCTCTGTGTTGTGCGTGCTTTTTGTGCGTTGTAGGTGTTGTGTTTGTTATGTTTGTCTAGCATGTGATGCGCTGGGCGTGATTTGTGTCTCTGTGTGTGCATGTAGTTCTGAGGCCCCAGGAGGCCCCAGGAGGCCCCAGGCGGCCTCAGGAGGCCCCAGGAGACCCCAGGAGGCTTCAGGAGGCCCCAAGAGGCTCCAGGAGGCCGCAGGAGGTCCCAGGATGTTTCAGGAGACCCCCAGGAGGCTCCGAGGCGGGGTCTGGGGTACCAGAAGGTTCAGAAAGCCCCAGGAGGCCCCAGGAGGTTCCAGGAGGCGCCCAGGAGGCTCCGAGGCGGGGTCTGGGGTACCAGAGGGTACGTCGGGGCTCGATTTTGGGAGGATGTTTCAGGCGAAACCGCCATTCTCTGAGAATCGGGGTCAAACTTATTTAAATTACTATAAAGGTTTTATGTTGAAATGTTGAAATTCCCATGTGTTTTTGGACCCTGACGTCACGATCTGCGTGAGGGGTGCCACCGACTTTCAGAATTTCGAGGATGTCCCTAGCGAAACGGCCCGAAACATCGCGGACGCGGCGCCCCGCGTACGCATTAATCGCCTCTGAGCTCTACTCCCTTGGATAGGTGCGTATGATAACACACACATATATATATATATATATATCTATACATATTTACACAGAATATGTATATATACATAGCCTGTGTATACACATACAAACACTTATCATCTACACACATATAGATATCTGTATATCCCACCAAAAAAAGGAACAGGAGGAGGACGAAAACGAGGACGAGGACGAGGAGGACAACGAGGAGGATACAACAACAACGGCCCCAGCTTGAGACTTCCTCGCGCGAACCCGAGCGACAGCCAGGGAAGGGAACCCACAGTGGCGTCCGCGCGTTCTGCGCGACTCTCCACACAGCATCGCCCGCTGTGATGCCCATGCTCTGGCATAGCAAGCGATGGCTTCGCCTCGGAGCCCACGGAGTTCAGGGCGGCTGGGAGGTCAACGACACCACGCTTCATAGAGTCGGCACCCAAGGCGACGGGGATATACGCCGCAACAAAAGATCGCTCAGACGCTCCAGAGCACGCGAAACAACAGTGCAGCTCGATGCTGCCGGCGCCACCTCTCCTACAAGACTGAACATATCGCCAATCGTGGCGTCCCGCGCCTCGGTCAACTGCATCGCAGACAGGAGCTGCTGCGCGGCAACAGAATCCAACCCAGGCGGCGCGGTAGATCTAGGTCATTCAACTTCCCGTATCGTGCGTCGCGATGCGCGGTCGTCCTCGCGCCCTCGCGAGGCCACCTTGGAGAAGGGCAACTCCTATACCCAGGCCGCGGCGCGCGAAGCGCCATGATCTTCGCGCCCGTGGCGGTGACCTGTGGTATGAGGTGAGTGAGGGGCAGCCCTTCCATGGGACCCCAACGTCTCACGCGCGCCTACAGAGGAGCCATGCGAAGCATCACTGCCATCCTCGGGTCCCACGGCGGGGGGGAATGCATGGCGGCGCACCGACGGGGTGATGACCTACCTGGTGGTGGTCTTGGCAGTCGGCCCAGAAGCGCAACCCCGGGCAGCGGAACGTTCACGGCGACGGCTTGTGGAATGCTTGGCACGGCTAGCGGCACGATGCAAACTGGCAGAACATCGGCCCCATCTCAGGCGAAAGTGGCTCGGCCGCTGAAGCCGCCAGGCGAGCGCCGCGGTGAGCCTGGTCACTCCAGCGGTCATGCTCAGCATGCTCATGCAGCGAGCGCGCGAACGAGCGCGCAGGTAGGCGAACATGCTCCAAGGACAGCGAGACACCGAGTGCCAGGAGCAGGGCAAGATTCACGAACCCGAGCCCGCTCACGTCAGGCAAGTCGCTTCTCAGCGGAGTGCACATGAAACATCTGACGGACGCGAGGGCACAGGCAGAAACAGAGCAAAGGGGCTGGTGGCTTGAGCCAAAGCACCGACGGACGAGGATGATGAGGAGGGCCGTCAAAAGCACACCTCCACCCCGACCTCGACTACAGTGGAGGCCACTCCACAAGGAACCTTCCACAAGAAACCCAACCCTGAGACCCCAGGATATCCACAGATTTTTGGTGTGGGGACGTCACGCTTTCCATAGCGAGACCATCGACACCCAAGAAACCCAGGGCACCCTGGAGACAAGCATGGTATGTCTCGGCATGGGTCTCCGGTGTAGCCTGTAGCTGCCATGAAAGAAAAGGGTTCCTGGAAGAAACGGGGTCCTCGACCCCGGGGCTCTCCTATGACCGTCTTCTTATCCTGGGTCGTTTTGTGACCGTCGCGGGAATGGCCCCAGAAGGCTGAAAACGGAGGCACCAACATAGGATTAGGTCGGGCGTGTCCTTCTACAGGCGGATTTTAAACGAAAACAAATCCACAAATAATCAAACCAACATGAAACACAACTCAGAGCATCGTCCCCAGACGATTTTTTTTTTTTTTTTTTTTTTTTTTTTTGTGTGTGCATATTTTTGACTTCTCCTCCTGGAGAGGGACAGGCTCGACTGAAAAACAGGACAACTTTCCATCATAACCCTTTTTGTACCCCTAGAGAGCCCACCCCGACACCACTCCACCGAAGGCGTCTGGACGCTTGACCCCCGACGCTTGACCCCCGACAAGCAGGGTGAGCGGCCAGGAGGTCCGAGCGCCGCCCGCAAGGACGACGCAGCACGTGTTGCACGTCGCTCGCTGCTGCAGCCCAGGCCAAGCGCATGGACACTTAGGACGAAAATGCTTGGGGCGCATCTTGGAGCTGGAGGAGGAGGAGGAGGAGGAGGAGGAGGAGGAGGAGGAGGAGGAGGAGGAGGAGGAGGAGGAGGAGGAGGAGGAGGAGGAGGAGGAGGAGGAGGAGGAGGAGGAGGAGGAGGAGGAGGAGGTGCTCCTCGTGAGCGCTGTGACAGATCCAGGGGCTCCTGCTGGGAGGGGCATTCTTTTTGAGTTCCTGGCATGGGGCTCTCGCCGTGCTCCTGTCTGGACGTGCCCGCGATTCTGCTCGTCTGCCAGGCCCGCTGCCACAGGCACTGCAGATACTTACCCATCGGTCGGAAGAAGTAGGTAGAACCATGAAGTAGGAAGGCGTTGGAAGTAGATTGGGTCTCCGCCCGCCTCCTGAAGAGGAGGGAGCGGGAAACCCACTCGACACTTGACGTAGGAAGGCGATTCAAGTATATTGGTATCTGGGAATCCAAAAATACATACTTTCAACGACCGAGGGGTAGCCGTTGGGCCAACTAACAAAAAGCTGTGACACCTGAGGCCAAGCCTCCCCTGGAAGAGCTGATCATGACTCACATGCAAGCAGCCAGGTTTCGGTCGGGCATGTCCTCCTACAAGCGGACTTTGGACGAAACGTAAAACATAATCAACACATATTCAGCAATAGTCAAACACAGTCAAAAACCGTTCCCTGACTATTCTTGGATATTCCTCCTGTAGAGGACAGGCCCGACATAAAGCCAGGTGTCGGTGACGCGCGTGTGTGTGTGAGTGTGATAACCACAGAAGGGCGGCGCGCAAAAGCGGGCTCCTGCAGGCGAGGGCGACTGGCGCCGCGACGGCTCCGTCGGCCTGGGCGAGGGCAGCCTTGGGACTCCTCCTCTTCCTCCTCCTCCTCCTCCTCCTCCTCCTCCTCCTCCTCCTCCTCCTCCCTCCTCCTCCTCCTCCTCCTCCTCCACTTCCTCCTCCTCCTCCTCCTCCTCCTCCCTCCTTGCCACCCCGTGGATATCAGCGAATTCCAGCGAGTTCCTCCTCCTCCTCCTCCTCCTCCTCCTCCTCCTCCTCCTCCTCCTCCTCCTCCTCCTCCTCCTCCTCCTCCTCCCCCTTGGGGCGTCCATCAGGCGCGCTCGATGGCCGGGCGTGCGCGAAAGACGCGGGGCCGACGGAACGAGCATGCGTGTGCACTCGCCCCGCATTCGCTGGGTGCGCGCGTGTGCGCGCTCGCACGCCACGCGTGCACGGGCAGCCCTGCAAGGTTGAAAAAGCATAAGATAATGCTGTCGAGACGGAGGGAAACATGCGATGAGGGCACGCGGTCTGCAGAAAATCATCGAGGATGGGATGCAGCATCTGCTCCGAGGGGCGGCAGCACGCAGCACGACGAGGCGTGCAAGCGAAGAGTCGGCAGGAGCTCGGCCACCGCGTCCTGGCTCTCTCATCGTGCCCGCGCGCTTTCTCGCCCACCTTCGCCGCGGGCTTCAGCTCAGCGGCGCCCCTCCTCCTCGGCTTCAGGCTCGCCCTGCGGTCTGAGGACCGGGAGCGGTCGCCTGCCCTCGCCCCCATCTCTTGCTCGGACATCCTCCTCCTCCTCCTCCTCCTCCTCCTCCTCCTCCTCCTACTCCGAGCCCAAGCGACGCCACCCCACACACGACCCAGCGATGCGGAACATCTAGGCGCCCGCCCCGTGCAGCCTCGGCGTGTCATCACGGAGGCCGAGTGCTCTTTTTGGACTCAACACGCCCGCACGGCCCAACGGCCCACGGTGCACAGGCAGCAATGGCTGGCGGCCGCGGCCCGACTCCCGGCTCCTCCCGAGCTCGGAGGAGGTGGGCGCTGGCGCGGAGGAGGGCCCGAGTGCGCGGCGAGGCCGCAACAATTTTCGGCACGGCGGGTCGTGGCCGGGGCGGTGTCGTGTTTGGTTCTTGGTCGATTGCTCCCCCCCCCCTGCCTTGCTGCCTTGACTTCAATCGGGCCTGTCCCCCTATAACAAGGGGATTTTCGACGGGGGAAAAAAATGCCCCCTAAAATACCCCCAAAAGGTTAAAACAACTCCAGACATAGTCCCTGGACTATGTCTGGATTATTTTCGGGGTATTTACCTAACAGCGAAGACTGATAGGTTTCTAGTGGTGTCAAAAGAGAGCATCTGATGACTCAGAAGGGAGGTCTGGGCGGCATCCGGACAGCGAGGGCCGGGCTCAGGGCCGGGCTCGTTTTAAGCAAACAGTCACACACTTCGTGCTCTTCGAACTCCCAGAACTCCAATCCCGGGCCACATTTTGAATGCCCGAAGCCAACTGTAGGCCACTTCGTGCTCTACGACTTCCCAGAACTCCATTCCCGGGCCACATTTTGGATGCTCGAGCCAACTGTAGGCCACTTCGTGCTCTTCGACTTCCCAGAACTCCATTCCCGGGGCACATTTTGGATGCCCGGAGCCAACTGTAGGCCACTTCGTGATCTTGGACTTCCCAGAACACCATTCCCGGGCCACATTTTGAATGCCCGGAGGCAACTGTAGGCCTCTTCGTGGTCTTCGAGTTCCCAGAACTCCACTCCCGGGCCACATTTTGAATGCCCGGAGCCAACTGTAGGACATTTCGTGTTCTTCGAGTTTCCAGAATTCCATTCCTGGGTATGATTTTGAATGCCCGGAGCCAAATGTAGGCCACTTCGTGGTCTTCGAGATCCCAGAGCTCCATTCCTGGGCATGATTTTGAATGCCCGGAGCCAGTTGTAGGCCATTTCGTGTTCTTCGAGCTCCCAGAACTCCATTCCCGGGCCACATTTTGAATGCTGAGGCAGGCTGAGGCTGAGGTTGAGGCAGGCTGAGGCTGAGGCAGCCTGAGGCTGAGGCCGAGGCTAAAGGCAGAGTGAGGCTGAGGCTGAAGCAGGCTGAGGCTGAGGCTGAGGCTGAGGCAGGCTGAGGCTGAGGCTGAGGCAGGCTGATGCTGAGGCTGAGGCTGAGGCTGAGGCTGAGGCTGAGGCTGAGGCAGGCTGAGGCTGCTGAGGCTGAGGCTGCAGGCTGATGCTGAGGCAGGCTGAGGCTGAGGCTGAGGCTGATGCAGGCTGAGGCTGAGGCAGGCTGAGGCTGAGGCCGAGGCTGAAGGCAGACTGAGGCTGAGGCTGAAGCAGGCTGAGGCTGAGGCTGAGGCAGGCTGAGGCTGAGGCTGAGGCAGGCTGATGCTGAGGCAGGCTGAGGCTGAGGCTGAGGCTGATGCTGAGGCTGAGGCAGGCTGAGGCTGAGGCAGGCTGAGGCTGAGGCCGAGGCTGAAGGCAGACTGAGGCTGAGGCTGAAGCAGGCTGAGGCTGAGGCTGAAGCAGGCTGAGGCTGAGGCTGAGGCAGGCTGATGCTGAGGCAGGCTGAGGCTGAGGCTGAGGCTGATGCAGGCTGAGGCTGAGGCAGGCTGAGGCTGAGGCCGAGGCTGAAGGCAGACTGAGGCTGAGGCTGAAGCAGGCTGAGGCTGAGGCTGAGGCAGGCTGAGGCTGAGGCTGAGGCAGGCTGATGCTGAGGCAGGCTGAGGCTGAGGCTGAGGCTGATGCAGGCTGAGGCTGAGGCAGGCTGAGGCTGAGGCCGAGGCTGAAGGCAGACTGAGGCTGAGGCTGAAGCAGGCTGAGGCTGAGGCTGAGGCAGGCTGAGGCTGAGGCTGAGGCAGGCTGATGCTGAGGCAGGCTGAGGCTGAGGCTGAGGCTGATGCAGGCTGAGGCTGAGGCAGGCTGAGGCTGAGGCCGAGGCTGAAGGCAGACTGAGGCTGAGGCTGAAGCAGGCTGAGGCTGAGGCTGAGGCAGGCTGAGGCTGAGGCAGGCTGAGGCTGAGGCTGAGGCAGGCTGAGGCTGAGGCTGTGACTGCGACTGCCGTTGCCACTGCGACTGTCATCGCGAATGCGACTACGACTGCGACTGCGAGAACAGCAGAATTGTACAACCGGATTCTCATCTGAATCTTAAGGGGAATGCTTCCAGATCTGCTCCTACACATCGCTGTTAGGTTGCTTTGCCGGGATAATTTTCATTTTTCGTCGAAATCCCCCTGTAGGGGGACAGGCCCGACTTAAGCCTTGACCCGCCCGCCCGCCTCTCCCGCCCGTGCAGAGAGACGCCGGCAGCCCTTGCAGAGACCCTGGGAGCCGCAGCGAGGGCGGGCGGCCCGGCGGGGGCGGGGCGCGCGACGGCCAAGGGCCCCTCCTGGCTCGCGCGAGGCGGGCGCGCGGGCGTCGTGAAGAGAACTCTGGAGGCCTTGCGCGGCCATCGGGGATGGGCACAACCCCCTTTTGGCAAAAGGTGGCGTCGTGAAGACGACCTCGGGCCCGAACCTGGGGGGCGCAGGCCTGGAGAATGACGGCCGCGGCGCCCTCCCGAGGACCGGAAAACGGACAATTCACTGATCGACGTGTCAGGATGGGGGTTCTGTCCACCCCCGAGGCAACTTGAGGACACTCTCACACTTGCGCCGCCGCGCGGACGTCGTCCCATGCCTGAAGCGGACGGACCTGTGGACGAGAGCATTCGCCGGCCCAGAGGGCCAGAGGCGTGCTAAGATCTACCATAACAAGGTCACCCTAGTTCCAGTTTGCGTGCGCTGGGCGGCCCCTGGGGGTGCGCGGGCGAAAGTACAGTGGGGGCGTTGACCTAAGAAACTCCAAATAAGGAACGAGGCCCCTTTCTCCCATAAGTTGAACTTCGATTTCCCATGGGAAACCTCAGGAAAACCGAAGGCAAACTGCAGAACAATCAAGAAACACCGAGCCCCTCCCCAACGAAAAGGGTTCCTTCTTCAGGGCCCCGACTGTACTCCAGGAAGGCTCCCCTAAGGATGCCGGTCCTCCCAGGGGCGGTTTTTCACGGCCTTCCAGGGGCGCTCCAGGAGCGCCCCATGGGACCTCAAGGAAGCTCAAAATCAAGAGGGCCACGGGTCGGAATCCCTCGGTGGCGGGCCCCAAGATGGCCCAACACACGGCCCTGCGAGGTCTCAAGCCAGCCCCAAGATGGTCGAAGAAGCTTCCAGGAGGGCCCCTTTAGAGGCTCAATCTCAATTTTTCCTGGGGGTTTTGAAAGATTTTGGCGTTACCGCCTCCGACCGCCCAAGACGGCCCAAGAGGCCTCCAAGATCGCCCCAAGACACCAAGACAGCCCAAGACGGCCAAGAGGGTCCCAAAACGGTCCAAGCTGCCCCCTAAGAGGGCTCTCGAGGCTCCTAACAGAGCCCCAAGAAGGGGAATCTGAACTTCCATTTGGAGCCCTTCCCCTGCAGATGGCTCACGAGACTGCCAGCAAGCCCCGAAGGGGCTCCCAAGATGCCCCCCAGGAGTCCCCCAAGACACCCCCGAGAGGCCCAAAGTGCCGCCACAGGCCCCCCGACCCGAGAGGCCTCCCAAGAGTTCCCAACAAGCCTCCCAACAAGGCCTCTTGTCCATGACCCAGTCTGGCCGAAGGCCACTGGGCACGACATGCAGGATGGGCCGGCAGAGGGAGCGAAGCGATCCGCCGCCCCACAGGCACGGCGTGCGAGACCACCGCCGTATTGTCTGCAAGAACTGCTCTTCGTGAGCCTTCTCACAAGCGCACTCTTCATACCTGTCCCTGCCTCTGCGTCTCTCCGAGCCCCTCCTGGGGTCCTCTCTGGGGACCGCTCCTTCCGCCAGCTCGAGGGCCCTGGGCCTGGCCGGGGCGCCCACCAGTTCTATAGAAGAAGAAACAGCGGCCTAAACATAAACTCGACGCCGCCAGGGGGGGGGTCCAGCGCGGATCCAAGAAATCCGCGCGGAGCGCCAACACAAATGATGCTCATGCCGTTTTCTCTTCGCCGAGCCCGTCCCAAAGCGACCCCCCTTTTCAGCAGGGGTCCACACGCGAACCCTACCCCTGCCCCCCACGATTCCTGAGGGGGAGGGCGGGGTTCACTTCGCTCGGGAGCTCCCGAGCGTGGTAAACCCCACCCTCCCCCTCAGAAGTCGTGGGGGGTAGGGGCAGGGTTCGCGTGTGGACCCCCATTTCAGCTGGTAGTTCTGTGGGCGCCGCCGGCCCCTCTCGGAAACCTCTCCGGGAGCCTCTCATAACCGGCTCCGGGGTTCCCCCCTCGGGGCCCTCCTGGGCTCCCCTTGCCGGTCGCGGGAGGGCTCTCTTGGGCCGCTCTGGATGCCTCTCCACCTCTGGTTCGGGCTCAGAGCGCCTGCAGGCCCCGACGAGAGACAGCTCGCTGAGCACACACAGGCTGTTGACGAGTCCAGCCGTCTCGGGCTTCTCTTTGCGTCTCTCTCTCTTGGAGCTCCCTTTCCCTTGCATCTTCCCAGGCTCCTCCTTCCATCTTGGAATCTGCGGATCCTCTCTGCGGCCGTCCTGACTGCCTCTCGGCCCCCCTCCCCGCGCTCCTCAGGCGCCGCCTGGGCATCTTCTTCGGTCGCCCGGGGCGCCCCCTGAGACCCCCAGGAGCCTCTCCAGGAGCCAAAGACTAAGTGGGAGTGTTCTCTTCCACTCCCGCTTCCCTCCTTCGCCCCACCTCGCTGCACTCGATTCATCCTGGCTACTTTTTGGGCCCCTTTCGTAGAGGCCTCCTAGATGGGGTCCGAGTAGGTGGGGTCGAAGGATCGCCAATGCATCGGCGATGCATCGGCGATGCATCGAAGACGTCGGCGTGGGAGAGCACGGGCTCCACATCGAACTGCATCGTCGATGCATCGGCGATGCGGCGCGATCCTCCGACCCCATCTGCTCGGACCCCATCTTTGGCGGCGCGCAGAGGGGGGTAGGGGGAGGGGGAAGGCTTCTTAGAAACACCCTGCTTCTTAGAAGGCCTCGGCCCTACGTCTATAGAGAAGGCCCGCGCCTTCCAAGAAGCAGGGTTGCTTCTAAGAAGCCTTCCCCCCTCCCCCTACCCCCCTCTGCGCGTTGCCGACATCTAGGGGGCCTCGGATTTCGCTCCCCCCCCCCCCGCGCGCCCTTGCTGGGCCGAGCCCGCTGGCTGCTGGGCCGGTGCCCCTGGCGGCCTGTGTCGGGGCCAGCCTCGGCCTCCGGGAGCAGGCGCTCCCGCGAGCTGCCCGCGCGTCCTTTTGGGGCCGCCTGCGCCTCCCTGCTGCGCAGCGCTGCTCTAAATCAGGGCTAGGATCGGGATCAATCGCTCCAGAGCGTTCCGGAGCGCTCTCAGAGCGTTCCGGAACGCTCTGGAGCGGCCGCGGCGCCCAATACATCCTCCAAACCGCCGATTTTCAGAGATTTCGAGTTATCCCGATCCGATTTTGTCCCGATCTTCGCGTCGTTTTATGCTCGGGTGGTCCCCGTCCTGCGCTAGCGAGCCTCGCCAAGTCCGGTCGCGGCTTCCGGGAGCAGGTGCTCCCGCGCCCTGCTCGCGCTGCCTTGGGGCCGCCTGCGCCTCCCTGCTGCGCAGCGCTGCTCGGGTGGTCCCCTTCCTGCTCCAGCGAGCCTCGCCAAGTCCGGTCGCGGCTTCCGGGAGCAGGTTCCCGCGCACTGCTCGCGCTTCCTTTTGGGCCGCCTTCGCCTCCCTGCTGCTCAGGTGCTGCTGGGGTGGTCCCCTTCCTGCTCCAGCGAGCCTCGCCAGGTCCGGTCGCGGACTTCCAAGCGGCCGCGCTGCAGAAACAGTGGGGCGTCGGCGTCTGCCCCCTCTCGGGGGCCGTCAGTCGAAGGTAACTCCTGCGCGTCGCGCGAGGTCTCCGGGATGCTCCTCGTAGCGCGCGTGATGCCGCACCCTTGGCCATCAGACCGCGCTGTCACTTCTGGTCGGACAGGGCGTGCGTTGCCCCGCCTGCCAGCCTTGGGCGTGGCTTAGTGGGGGGGTCATTAGTGGGGGGGTCAGAAACGGTCCCCTTTCGTGCCCCTTTCGGGCCCCTCCAGAGCCCTAGGGGGCTCGTTTAGGTACCGTTCGGGTACCTTTTCGAACCACCCTTGCCACCCCTCCCATTTATGACCCCCCCATTACGCGGCGCCCAACAGCCCTGCCCTGGTCGTGGCTCCGGTCGGCACCTGGGCCAGGCCCGGTGCGGCAGAGCCCCGGCGGGGTGTGGACTGCCCCAGCCGGCGTGGCTCGCAGACGGGGGCAGGGCCAGCGGGGCGGCGCCTCTCTCCGAGAGCGCCGGGGGGGCTCCTCGGAGGGGTCCCCTGTGCCTTCTCGGAGGCTTCACAGAGAAGGCTTCTCTTGCCGTCGCTCGGACGTCCATTTCCCGTGCATTTTTCGGTCTCGAGCGTGTTTTTTTTTTTTTTTTGCTCGATGGTCCAGTATGGTCCTCGATGGTTCTCGCCGAGAAAATATGCACACGCCCGAGCGATGACACGTTCTTGCAAGGCATCCGCGTGCGCTTCGGTGGTGGCCCTGCAGCTGGTGCGCGTGCCGTTCGCAGGCATCACGAGGCAACGTGCAGGCAGGGCGCAGTGTAGGAGGCAGCGATGCGAATGCAGAAGTATGAAAGCGTTGAACTCCTCCTCCTCCTCCTCCTCCTCCTCCTGCTCCTCCTCCTCTTTCTGATGTGCAGGGCAGTTTTTAATTCATTATATATATATATATATATATTTCTTAAAAAGAAACCACGTAGATGATTCTAATACATGACTAAGTTATGGATAATTTTATGCATGAGCTCTTCGTTGTTCTTCATACTACATCCCTGCAATTTTTATACATGATCCGCACGCGAAGCATGTATAAAAAAAACGGCACTGTAGAGACAACGATGCTAATGCAGAAGTGTGAGAGCGTTGAGCGCGGATCCCCTTATGCAGAGAAAGCCCCCTCCCCTCTGCATGCCCCCCCCCCCCCCCTCCCCTGCGCGCTCCCGAGCCACACACTCCTCAAACGCATACTCTGGCAACTGTGGGAAGCTGACCAGCACAGATGTGTGACCACACGCATGTATGTAGATGCGTCAGCATTGGCCATGCGAGGGTACCCGAGGCTTAGCATAACACTCTTGTTCGACCAGTACATGCTGACTACCCACCATATCAATTTTCGAATCGCAAATGGGGCCCGCTAAGCGGTGGTGGGATACGGAAGGCCCGAGTGGGCAACGCTCGCCGATTTGTGTAAGAGGTTTGCCGAGACAGCCCTGCAAACTCTACCGAGAGGGACTTCCTGCATCGGGCGAACGGGACGTCGCGCACGACACTCGTGATTCTGCCGACAAAAGATCGACCACACCGAACAACAACTGCAACTTTCTTCCCGCTGTGCCACACGCTCGTGTCCGCGAATGCCTTCTGTCACCACTCGGCGGTTTCCACCGCTCGCCACCTCACGTCTTTCCTCTCGCGTTTGCCTGCGATGACTCCGATTGCTGAACACCACATGCTGCTTACCGGCGCTTTGTTTGCAATTCCATGTCGTTGAGAGGAGCTCGCCGCTGCCTGCTCAATCCACCGTGTTGCTCTTGGTCAATTGTTTCGACTCGGATCCCATTTCCGTGTGCATCCTCACGGTGCTTGCATTGATCATCATAGCTCTCCTTCTCTTCTTCTCTGCACCACGGAAGCCTTTCTGCTTTTCTACTACGCGCACGCGCCCTCCCTGCTTCTGCTACAATGACTTCAAGACGAACCCGAACATGATGCCTAGATCTTGACGTTTCCCCGCCCCTCCGAATGCGCGCATCGCCGCGCGTGCTGCTGCTTCCCATCCGAAGGAAGCCGAGGCAGCACGGCCGGGCTGGTGTATAAGATTGCTGTCTCGAGCTGTGGCGCAGCGTTGGGGTCGTACTAATCATGGCATCATGGCCAGGTGCATGCTCTTGCCGAGAAGAGGGATGACCAGACATCTCCAATATGACGATCCTGGGGCAGGATCCTGGGGCAGAACACAACTCACCAAACCGATCGCTGAGTTCCAAGAATGCGTCCGCGGTCTGATTGACGCCTTCAAGCCAATCACGAATCACTGCCGCTTGAGTAAGTATGGACCTCCCACCGTGCTGTAAGCACTGACTGGAGTATCTTTCGATCTCTTCAAAGTGTACGTGTTAAAAAATTCACATGCTCTTTCAGGGGCCCAGATCTTTGATTGACGAAATCCTTAGGCTTTTCGAAACACGCCTGGGTTGTACCGCGTTGCTTTTCAGAGGCCTCGGTGGTGTGGTTCGGAATCTAAACTTCCAGCGTGCCCCGATATGGTCTCTCGGGGCCGTCTTGTGACCCTCGGGGGCTGTCTCAAAGGCCGTGGGGCTGGGCCAAGGAACCAGAACCACTGAAATACATGGTTTTCGTCACATGTCTGCGAAGTGCCCAGACATCCGGCGCCTCGAATGTTTCGAGACAAAAGCGGGCCCCTGACCTCTAGACCATCTCCCTGGGACCAGCTCTTCATCCCGAGCCGTTCTGTGACGGTCCCGTGGCCCAGTGAAGGCCCCGAGAAGTCGCGAACTATACGGAGAAACGCTGCCTCGTTTTTTTCGAGATGCCTTCTGTTGTTGTTGTTGTTGTTGTGGTTGTGGTTGTTGTTGCTGCTGTTGTTATTGTTGCTGCTATTGTTGTTGTTGTTGCTGCTGCTGTTGCTGTTGCTGCTGTTGTTGTTCTTGTTGTTCTTGTTGCATTTGCTGCTGATGCTAATGTTGTTGCTCTTGTTGCTCTTGTTGTTATCGTTGCTGTTGCTGCTGTTGCTGTTGTGCGGTTGTTGTTGTTGCTGTGGCTGTGGCTCTTGCTGTTGTTGCTGTTGTTGTGCTGTTGCTGTTGCTGTTGCTGCTGCTGTTATTGTTATTGTTATTGTTGTTGCTGTTGCTGTTGCTGTTGCTGCTGCTGCTGCTGCTGTTGTTGTTGTTGTTGTTGTTGTTGTTGTTGTTGTTAATGATGCTGTTGTTGCTGTTGTTGTTGCTGTTGCTGTTGTTGTTGCTGCTGTTGCTGCTGGCGTTGTTGTTGTTGTTGCTGTTGTTGTTGCTGTTGTTGTTGTTGCTGCTACTGCTGCTTGTGCTGTTGTTGCTGTTGTTGCTGTTGTTGTTGTTGTTGCTGTTGCTGTTATTGTTGCTGCTGTTGTTGCCGTTGTTGTTGTGTTGTGTTGTTGTTGCTGTTGCTGTTGATGTTGCTGTTATTGTTGCTGTTGTTGTTGTTGTCGTTGTTGTTGTTGTTGTTGCTGTTGTTGTTGTTGTTGTTGTTGTTGTTGTTGTTGTCGTTGTTGTTGTTGTTGTTGTTGTTGTTGTTGTTCTTGTTCTTGTTATTGTTGTTGTTGTCGTTGTTGTTGTTGTCGTTGTTGTTGTTGTTGTTGTCGTTGCTGTTGTTGTTGTTGTCGTTGTCGTTGTCGTCGTCGTTGTTGTTGTCGTTGTTGTTGTTGTTGTTGCTGCTGTTGTTGTTGCTGTCGTTCCTCGAAGTACCAGGCGCCCGGGACAACTTGGCGGGGGATCCCCGCGCTCTCTCGTCGGGTGCCCGCCCGTGCCCCCGCCCGCGTGCGCATCCGCCAGGCCTTACTTGCGGTCTCCCTCGGCGGCGAGCCCGCAGGGGGGGGGGGGGGAGGGAGAAGAGGGAGGGAGGAGGAGGAGGAGGGGGAGGGGGAGGAGGAGAGAAAGGAGGAGGAGGAGGAGGAGGGAGGAGGAGGAGGAGGGAGGAGGAGGGGGAGGGGGAGGAGGAGGAGGAGGGGGGAGGAGGAGGAGGAGGAGGAGGGGGAGGGGGGGGGGAAGCGAGAAGGGGCGGGCCTCCTCCGAGGGAACTAGGGACCCGTCGGCCGGAAGAGGTGGGCAGAAGCATGGGGCAGGAGGGCGCTGAAAGTAAGCTGGGTGTCCGCCCGCCCCCTCGGGGGGACGGAGAAGGTGAGGCCACTCGATCATGGAAGTAGGAGGGCGCTTAGAGCAGATGGGAGCCTGGGAATTCAGAAATGCCTACTTTCAGTGACCGATGGGTATCGTGTTGGGACGAAGGGCAGCGAGCAGACCATCGACCCTCATAAGAATCACCCCGACACGCGGAGCCGTCTCGCAAACGCACCCAAAGAAGTAGTCGAACAGGGCAGGGCTGCAAACGCCAATGTTCGGCGGGTCCCCGTGGGTTTTCCTCCTTTGGAAAGGGTTGGGGGGATGAAGGTCTGAGCAGTAGCGTCCAGACGCAATGAACGATACCTTCGCCTGCCTGCGGGTGAGGATGCTCCCGTTTCTCTCAGCCCCATCCTCCCAACCCGGTAATTGTCTTCATGACCCCCAGAGGGCTCAGAAGTCCCCCAGCCGTCTGAGCCTGCCCCGCAGACGCGGAACACCTCTCGGACGGCTGGAGGGCATCCGAGAAGTCCCGCCGCCCACTGTGAGAAGGCCTTCTCCTCCTCACCTCCCCCCCCAAACGCTCGCCGCCGATCTTCGCCCGGTGCAACCGCCCGTGCCCGCTCCGTGTGCTGGCTCGGGGTGCTCGCCTCGCGGTCGCCCGCCCCGTGCGCTGGCCTGCGTCCCTGGGGCTTTGCCCGGTGCCCGCCCCGTGCGCTGGCTCGCGTTTCGGGGTCTACACGCGAGGGACGAAAAGAAGGGGGCCTTACGCGAGATGGCGTGCACTCATCGCGCTACCAGAAGGAGCGCGTGCTAGGGAACGACGGGGCTTTTCTGGCCACGGTGGGCCTAGGCCACAAAGCAGGTTCCACGACATGAAGTCTAAGGAGCGGCCCGAGTACTGCAGCCACTCCTGAGCTCCAAACGGTCCTAATTTTGGTGACTTGACTTAGCGACCTTACGCGGTGGCTTACGCGGGCCAGGGGCGCGGCATGCCACATTGGAAGCAGTGGCGCGTACGCTCCACCTTACGCGGGCAGCTTACGCGCCAACCCCGTTTTTGTCGTCGCTCACAGCGCTTGCATCACGTAGAGTGCAACACAAATCTTGCACACCGAATGCTGCACGACACGGCTTGCACAGCACACGTGCCCTGTCTGAAGAAGAAGTGGACCCTATCCCCAAGCTGAGGCCGGACTTGCCTGCTCCCCCCCGCATGTGTCAGTCGATTCTGCACACGAGTGTGGCAGAGCGAGGTGTGGGGGCGGGGTGTGGGCGGGCGGGCGCGGTGGTTCGGGGCGGGGGGGGGCGGAGACGAGCGGCCGCTGCTTCTCCCCGGGGAGGTCCAGCGATCACGACTCGGGGTTTGCGGGGCTCGGGCAGAGGCCGAGCAGGGAGCGTAGTCTTGCGTGCACCAAGTCCCTGAGAGGTACAGCTGCGTGCTGCCGAGGGTCCCAGGATGGTCACAGAAAGTCTAGAGGGAGCTCCAGGGGGCCGCCACGAGGCCTCCAAGACAACGCAGGAGGCGCCGTGAGGAACACGCGAGGCCCCGAGGCTATGCCCCAAGAGGGCCTAATAAGGACTCTAGACTGCAAAACAGTTTGAACACATACATTGTGTACACACGGTAGCACATCTTGCTATACGATGTCTAGGGGGACTGCCCTCGTCCCTCTTTAACCTTCAGAGTGTGCCCCAGGATATCTGTGGGTTCCCCGGGACTTGGGGGATACGAATATTGCGCGGACATCTGCTGACATAATGGTTTCGTGTCAGCCTTGCGCTTCATTAGTGATGGCCTAAGATGGCTTCAGGAATGTTTTGGAAGGCCCCCGACCAGCTCCCGAGAAGGCTCGAAAGCCCCCAAAGGGCCCGAATACCGTTGGGCAGGCCCAAGATGGCTCAATATAATAATAATACTACTAATAATAATAAGAGTAATAATAATACGAATATGAATAATACTAATAATAGCAATAATAATACTACTAATAATAATATTACTAATAATACTAATACTAATATTAATCAATAATAATAATACTAATAATAATAAAAGTGTGTGTGTGCTTGTGTTCGTGTTTGTGTTTGTGTTTGTGCTGGTGTGTGTGTGTGTGTGTGGGTACGCGCGCGCGTGTGTGTTTGTGTGTGTGTGTATGTGTGTGTGTGTGTGTGTGTGTGTGTGTGCGTGCGTGCGTGCGTGCGTGTGTGTGTGTGTGTGTGTGTGTGTGTGTGTGCTTGTGTGTGTGTGTGTGTGAGTGTGTGTGTGTGTGTGTGTGTGTGGGGGTGTGCGTGTGCGTGTGCGTGTGTGCGCGTGTGTGTGCGCGTGTGTGTGTGTGTGTGAATGTGTGTGTGTGTGTGCGTGTGTGTGTGTGTGTGTGTGTGTGTGTGTGTGTGGTGTTCCCCTGAGTGGGTGGACGGGGTCCTGGGGTAGCCTCAAGGGGCCTCGGGTCGATCGGGGCAACATTGAAACCACCTTGGGCAACCTCCTGGCCACCTCAGCCACCCTGGGCTCCTCCGGGTGCCGAGCTCGAGCAACTTGGGGCCAAGGTGTAGCTGGCGGAGGTCAAGCTGAACCACTTCTGCCCTCCTCCCTGCTGCCCCCCTGTCGCCCAAGGGCGCCGCACTTCGCGCTTCGCGAAGCGCGAGTCACCTCGCACTCTCGCGCCGCCCCCCAGGGGACGAGGAGGAAGAGGACGAGGAGGAGTCGGAGCCGAACCGCGAAACGCGAGTGACTTCGCGCCCTCGCTGGCGCCCCTGCTCTGCCCCCCCTCCCTGCTGCCCCCCTGCCGCTCCTTGCTGCCGCGGTCCGCCCGTGCCACCTCTTGCCGTGCCCCTGCTCCGCGCTCTCCCTGCGGCTCCCGCTGCCGCCCCCCGGCTCTCTCGCTCGTTCCCCTGCGCCTCTCCTGCGGCCTCCCTGCCA